TCTGTAGGATCATATTTCTTACCCTAGTATATAGATGGGCAAACTAAGTCAGAAAGAAATTAAGAAATTATTTGTTATCAAATGAAATTAAATACCAGAGATAGATTTTAAACCAACTACCTCTAAGTGTAACTGGCCCCTGCTTCAAGATGTCCCCAACCTCTGCTACTGCCTCCATTACTGGCACTTCCCTTCTCCACCTGACAAAGGCTGGAAGCCTCATGGTCATTACCAGTTCATCCTGATGCATCGTTCTCCATAAACAATTCTTTGCTAGAATCCTACAGATTCCATCTATGTAACATTTTGTTAGTCGGTCTCCTTTTACCTTCTTTTCCCACTGCAACTGCCCTAGTTTAGGACTTCACCTATATATTGTCTCTCTTGTCTCTGTTTGTCTCTTCCCAGTCCTGGTCTCTCAACGTTCTGATAGGTCCAAGAAAAGCAACGAATCCATAGCTTCTCCAGTTACGTGTATTCGAGTTGTAAGGGTGACACCAATGTTCTTTCTAAATTCAGCTTCCATGGTGATTAGTATTAGTGAGTGTGGCTTCTCCTACTTAAAAAAAAATTAAAATCTTTCTCCTGTGGGTTGAGCAAGGGAAACTTCTCACTCTAGCATTTTTAAATGTCCTTAATACAGAGAAATCTGGTTCATTTGTTGCCATATTTACGTTAAGTTGTTATAAAATACTGTAAGGGAATTTGGGCGAATAAAAGTTACAAAAACAAATTTAGAATCGAAACTAAAATGTTTAGAAAGACCTGATCGAGTACACAATCAAGATGAATTAAGCAAATGTAAACTTTTAGTTCATTTGTCCAAGAATTTCCAATTTGTAAAACTTCCATGTTGATTTAAAACTTTAAATTCTAAATTATGTATAAAAAAAGAACTGCATCATGCTTTCAGTCATTAAAAAAGTTTATTGGTATATTTAGAGAGTTATTTTTTGTAGTTTATTTCTGTGATTTCCTTTGGCTTTAAATAGTACCAAGAGTTTCTTTTATCTCAAGCTTATTGGCAGCATTAATATAGCAGGAGGAGGAAAGAGAATTTCAGCCGAGGTTCCTACCATTAAGCCTCTACACTGTTTAAATTGAAATTTTACATTAATACTCTAGATTGATGAATTTAAGTGAGTGACTAAAAATATTTCAAGGCTGTTAAACAATGACAGCAAGGTAGCTCTATTCATGAGTAATGAATCTCAAAATAAATAATTGTTGAAAAACAGTTTCAATGGTACTTAAAATTTCCATTGTTTTATTCATTCCTTTTGCATGTGTACATTATTCACATAACTGAGGCAGTATGTCAAAGGATTTTTAGAAATGTGAATACAGCTGATTATAATTATAAATTTCCATTACTATTCCTTTTCAGAGAAGGCCAAGATAAATCGAATAGCTAAGCTATGTGATTCTAAAACTGATTTCATGGGGGATGGTCACTTGGCTCTTACCTAGGACACCATGTGTACAGCATCCCTCCAAGTTCTTTGGCACACCTACCCACGAGCATTCTTTAGTGAATGAACAATCTGATACTTCATAAGACGATGGGAAAGAGTGGCAAATGCTATTTGTGAAGAAGGAAAGGATTTAGGCAACCAGAATGTTAAGTAATTAAGAAACAAACGTTATCTGTTAAATTAGTGAATATTATAAAAAATGCATATTATTTTCATTCTGAATGGATCCAAACCAGAACAAGAATCTCTTCAGGTTCTAATTTGGTATTGACGACTGTTTGAGAAAACAGTTTCTTGTGATTACACCCTGGAATCACTCAGGCATTTAGAAGAGTAAAAACAAATTTGAATTGTATTTGTCATGTTTGCTAAATATCCCAAGCCCTGAAAACTGTTCCAGTTCCAAACTCTGAGTACAACAGGGAAGTAAACCCAGGACCTTGCATACTCTAGGCAAGTGCTCTATCACTGAGCTACATCCCAGCCTTCACTAACAATAAATAAGGAACACAGTTTGGATCTTTTTGTGCTCCATTTTGGGTAATGTTTAAAGATTTATTTTCAAGCTGAATAACTCTTTCCTTGGCTATGTTGAGTCTTCTAATAAGCCCTTAAATGTTATACACATCTCTGTTATTTTGCTTTTCATTGCTAACATTTCCATTTTACTCCATATCATAGTTTCCATCTCTGCTGAAATAGTCTACCTGTTATTATTTGTTGTCCATCTTTTTCTTTACAGCCTTCAATATATTAACCATAGTTACTTCAAATTTCCTTTCTGATCAATTTCATAGCTTGGGTCTATTGACTGCTTTTTTCTTGCTAATTTGTTGCTTTTTCTTATTTGTTTTTATTGTAATTTTTGTTGAGAGTTGGGCATTTGTGTAGAGAGAGAAATTCAGACAGTTTCTATGTTTATATATAGACATACCTTTCCTTTTGCTAGGACTTTATTCACAGTAATTGAGTTGATCTAGGAAAGTAAAAGAGTTGAGTTTGAGGATTCCTGATGCTATCTTATACTCAGGGTAACAGGGGTAACAGTATTCAAATTCTTTCAGAGACATCTGACTGTAAGGTGGGGACTGATTTGCAGAGGGTTTCTCTGTTATCTGCTTTGCATTCCCTTCCACTGTGCTTCAGATGTGCTTGCTTTCTCTGTCCATACTCCAACATTGCCTGTTACCTGATGACTGTTAGCCTGGGGAGAAGGAGGCCGGAGGGAAAGTCCCTGTTATTCTCCTTAATCCTTGGTATGATGCAGCCTCTTGTCCCTGGATCTTGAGGTTGTGACTTTCTCGGTGCTTCTGCACATCCAACAGCTATAGTTAAGGGCTATTCACATATTCCAGCCTTTCCTCTGAGGCCAAGAACCTTTTTTGTTCCTTCTATACAGCTAGAATTTTTTCCCCAGTGCAAGCGCAGCAATGCTTGTAGCTGTCTGCCTGTAGCTGAAGGCTCTTCTGAGATTTGGCTTCTGCCCATTTCTTCATTGAATTCTTTAACTAATTTTCACTGGTGTGTAGTTGCATCTGCTCCGGTGAAATGAGTATTCATATCTCTCTCCCCTCGCAGATAGTTTTCTTACATTTCAGGTTAATTACTGTGCACCCTCAACTTTTTGGTGGGTTCCTATCCAGTGATGAATTTGTAGTTTGTCTAGCTATATGTGACAAAGTTGCAACGGCAAGAGTGGTATTCCTTCTGGCTGTCAGCATTCCAGGAGGAAATGGAAAGCTTTCACATCTCTTTTGAACCACCACATGGACTTCGGATTAAAATCTTTGCTCTTTAATACATTAGCATTAAACAACACACTGGCCTTAATACCTGCTTTGTTTATTAAACTGCAAACCAAATTTCATTCATATGGCCAAAAGTCCTTTACCGGTCACACCTATTTTATCCATATGGAGTTCTGATTAACTTTGTAAATCTCCAATTTGTTTGGTTAAAACAGTAGCACACTAAGTTGGAAATCAGAACTGGTTTGTCAAGTTTTTTTACTAACAATATGACTTTGACCTTTATCTTAGTGTCTTCTGATCTTAACTTTTTCATTTTTAAGTTAGGAAATGAAGATAGACAATTTTATAATCCTTTCTAGTGTGCTAAGTTTTAAAACAGTTTGTTATTTTTATCATTTATGTTAAAAACTCAGTTATGTTATTATTCTGCAGTTTCGCAAGAGTATGACTCTACAGCAGAATGGTTAAGCCAGCAAATGCAGGAGCAAAACTGTTTAGACTCAAACTCTCCATCACTTGGACACTGTATATATTTTGGACAAATTACTTCTCTGAGCCTTCATTTTCTTGTGTGTAAAGGAAAAATGATATCTTTTAAGACAAAGGTAAAAATCATCTAGTATAGAGTCTGCAAGCCAAACAAACAAAAACAATACCATATTAGTCTCAGAAAAGCACTGTCCTCAACAAGAAAATTTCTGATGGCGCTTAAATTCTTGCATCAATCATTTATAGTTGCTAGTGTAAAGATACCTGGCCATGACTCTTAAGTTTTCCTCTTTTCTTTTCATGTCTCATCTTTCCTCCCTTTCATGTCTCATGTTTTCCAAATCTTTTCTGCATAGAATGTTCCTTTCTGCTTGATAGATTATGCTGCATTTTGATTGTAAAGAGAGTAATAGAAAGAATTGAGGAAAGAAAAAAAGTGACATTGGTAAATTTTAGCCAATTCAAAAAGTAAAAAGTACATGGTTGGATAATAAAATAATATAATTATAGTTATAATTAAGTTATGAGACTTGAATTTATAACTTTTACTAGCATTGGAAAAGTTATCATGTTTTGATTACAGTACATTGTTCCATCCTACCAGGCACTTGTTTGATCACTGAGGGTCATGAAGCATGTATTTTAACACACTTTCTAGGTTATCCTGATGTGTTCAACTTTGGAGACTGCTGCTACATTCCATGGGTCATTAATTCCATATCTTAGAGGCTAATTGAACTATAACTGACCATTACAGAGTTAAGCATAATATGTTCAAGGAGTTCACAGAAGTCAGTAAAGACTTCCAATGGTCAATACAGTGAAATGCAGACAAATCTATAAAATTAATTTGAATATAGCCTCTGGTTCCTTGTGTTAGGTGTTGGATAACTCAGGATCTTGTATCCTCTCCCCCACTTGAGAAGTTAACATGTCTTCTAATTCCTGGGCTTCTTTCTGCTCTCTTCCCCAACTCTTTTAACCTAATTCTCTAATATTAACCACTCTTCCCTAAACTGCAATTCTGACTTTGATCTTAAAGTAGTGTAATTATAATAGCCTCTGCCTTTTCTGCTGTGGCCAAGTCCAGCTTAATCTAATTCATGAGTGTGTCCAGTGACAAAATTCACAGTAAGTCCAGGAAATGGTTGTGCTCCCTCCCGGCCACCATTCCCAACCAAGCCACCCTCATATCTTACTGGGCTCTTGCAATAGTCCTCTAAAATATTCCTCCTCTTCCCACACATGGTTAGGTTTCTTTCTAAAAATATAAAATAAATCTTACCATTACTTGGCTCAGATGTTTCTTGCAAAACAAAATTCAGGGTCTGCACCAAGACTGGCTTGGCCTGTGCCCACTTCTGCCCACCTCCAGGCACCCTGCTACTCCTTTTCTTCCATACTATTGAGCATTCCAACCTCAGGCTTTGTTTTTTGCTTATCTTCAAACAAGTGAAGCAGAAACTGTATCCAGCAATGTTGTTCACATCGCACTTTCAAGAATGCAATCACATTACATTACCATCTGCAAAAGACTCTAAGGAGATGTAATCTGCCAAAAAAAGACATATGCTTACCTTAATCTGTATTTGCCATAAAGGAAGGACAGAATGGAATTTGGTAGACAGATAGCAGTCTCTGGTACAATATTTGCTCAGCTACCCAACTATTTAGATGCAAATTTCTTTCCACAAATAGAACATACTTGTTCCCTTTCCAGGAGAGATAATCCAAACTCTGATTCAGTTAGTTTATCTAGCTCAAAGTTCAGGATCACTGGTCGAAATACAAAACTTCTCTCAACAGATCAATATATTATCTCCCTCCCATCTCCAACCTCCTAGCAAAGCAGGAATATAGAAATTACATTTTAAAATAGGAAAGCATGAGAAACAAAATGGGGAGAACGATCTAGAGCAATTACCAGTCTACTGGGGAGTCTTTCATCAGCTAACTAATGAGTAGAATGGGTCCCTTGTTGGCCTTTCTGACTATCCCTGGTTCTGTGTCTGAGAAAATTTCTTCCTCCACTGCTGACCCCTGGTATGACTTCTGGAAGCTTATTTCTTGCCCCTTACAATATGGCAATGCTTAGGTATACATTGGAGAGTATGCATTCTTTAAGGACTGCTTCATGTCCCAAAATTTTCTTTTATAGGCTACCATGTTTATTTTCTTATAATCAATTTCATGTTTATTTTTAAATTTTACTCTTAAGCATATTTGTTTTGCAATTCCCATGCTTTACCTTCCATCTTACATTATCTTTCTAGAAATTTCTAAACTACTTCACTTAGAGGGACGAGTTCAGTGGGAAGTCTTCTTGCAAATGATCACATACAGCACTCTTATCAAGTTTTCCTCAGAGGCATGTAGATAACCATCTTTCCAATCTACTACGTCTTATCCTTCCTGTGTGTTACTTGATTTTTTTTCTATTTTTATTAGTACATGTTTGCAGTACATAATGATTACATTCCTCACAGGGATTTAGGATACACACACAACACATCTCAACTCTTTTTTTCTTCCCTTTCAAGCCCTCTTCTCCTTTCTCTTTCCTCCATCTTTTGGTCTCCTTGCCATTGGAGAAAGATTTCTCTTTTTTCCAATTATCTATTTTTTTTTGCTCTTTTTTTATATTTTGCATTTCTTATATCAGAGAAACCATGCAAAGTCTAAGCCTGTGTATTTGACTTATTTCACTTAATATTATGGTCTCAAGTTTCATCTATTTTACTACAAATAAACATTTTACTACAAATATTCATACATTTTACTACAAATACAATTTACTCAGATTTATCCTTCTTTATGGCAGAGTAGTACTCCATTGGGTATAAATATCACATTTTGTTTACCCATTCATCTGTTGACAGACATATAGGCCTTTTCCCAGATTTAGCTATTATGAATTGTGCTGCTATAGACATGGGTATGTATGTGTCACTGTAATACGATGTCTTTAACTTTTCCAGGAAGGCACTTAGAAGGGGAACAGCTGGGTTGAATGGAGTTCCTAGTTTTATATTTTAAGGAATCTCCACAGTGATTTCCACAGTGGTTGTACTAGCTTACATTCCAACCAACACTATAGAAAGTTTCCTTTTACCCCTGAAGCTTCCCCATGATTTGTTATTATTTGATTTCTTGATGATGGCCATTCTTTCTGGAATCAGGTGGATTCTCAGTGTTCATTTAATTTGCATTTAAGTGGCCCGAAATGTTGAGCATTTTTTCATGTACTTACTGGCCATTTGTACATCTTCTGAGAAGTGTCTGTTCTTTTCCGTTGCTCATGTTTTGACTGCGTCTTTTTTTCTTTTTTGAGTTCTTTATATATTCTAGTTAATACATTTCTGTTTCTCACAGTAATGTATGGTCCTTGTCTCAGACAGCTACCTTTTTTATAACTATATACTCTAGCATTGTCCTTGTGACATGTTTTTGTTTCCACAGATAGTTTTTTCTCTTTATTTTCATATTCCATTGGCTTTCAAAAGCTGAGGAGAAAAAAAAATTTAAGATAAATGAATCAATATCTTCCATAGTTATTCATCTTAAATGAATGGTTAACAGTATTGCTTCCAGACTTAGACTTGAATTATGATTTATTGCTATTATGTAAGCGTCATCAAGCTTCTTAACTCCTGTAGACTGCAGTTTTCTCATCAGGAAATAAGTTATCTTGAGGAATATATATATATTACAAAGCCTGATCTCAGCATATAGGGAGACTGCAGTGGCATTTTATTTACCATGAGTGATGACAGCAATACTGCAAGGCAGATCATATTATATTTGAGACAGGAAAGTGTCACATGTCAAATATCTACTAGAGGTTGATAGTAAGTGGCCAGCTTCCTGTTAACTCAGCTGTGTCTTATCATTTTCTTTGCTTTGTTCACAAAGAGGGCTATTTATTGGTCTATTTTGCCAGTCAACACGTGAGAATTTATGATCACTTTTCTGTTTAAAAATTTCCTGGAGCAAGACAAATCAATACTATGCTGCCCCTATGGGTCCAAGAGAAAAGCAAAACTTGGAGACATAAAAAATAAAAACAGTGCTTAGCATGTATAAGGCCCTGGGTTCATATGTCAGCACCAGATAACAACAACAATAATAACAACAATGAGGAAATATAAAAACAATAATCTGGCCCAAGTCTCCTGACCAAAGTCTTCAACTCTCTTGTGAGACAAAGCCATTTCCAAATGTTAATTTATTTGCCTAACATTGTGAAATACTGTACTGTACCAGAACTAAAATACTCTTGCAGTTTAGCCCATGATGAATAGTAGTGCATTGATTAAAATATTTTATATTTTTAACCATCAAGAAATTATTGTCAGCTTCATTTTACTTTTAATGTTTTTGTCTTACAGTTTTAGTTGCACAATGACCCCATGCTGTAACTTCTAAGTATGACTCATAGGTATAAGTGCATAGAACAAAATAGCAGAATTATCATCCAGGTAGCCTCCTGCTTCTACTAAGAGGGATTAACAATGATTTGTTTAGACAAGTCTTCTTTTCAGTGGTGAAAGATTGTCTTTTCTGTTCAATGAGTCATCCCTGACTGAATGATGTAAATACATGTGGATAATTCAGGCTTTGTCTTATTTCTTTGAGAAGAGAAAAATGAACCTATGTTGATTAGTGAACTAAGTTTTTGATTAGGTGAGGCATTCAATTGCCAAATGAATACAATTTCTTCAAATTTCCAGTTGTATATTTGGTCTTATTCTGGTGAGTCGTATTTAACAGAATGTTAAATCTGGAGAGATACTCAGACTTACAGTATTTTTGACACATCAGGTAATAAGTAAAGCTGCATTAAAAATTAGGCAAAATAACACCTTTTGAAAAGAGTTGAGTCTGTTAATTTCTAAAAAGATTCGATTTTTAAATGTCTTACTTAAATTTTTATTTCATAATATTTTCTATAAGAATCTTTAAAACAATTGGCAAAAATATTGAGGACACAAAAGTAATCTGAGGTATTGTCATAAAGTCAAGAATGCTGAAAAGTTTCCTTCTGTATTCTCTCTCAGAAATTGTTTACTTTTACCTTGCACTTTAATTTTTTAATTTTTTTTATTAAATTATTTTATTGGTACATTGTAGGTATACAACACAATTACATTTCTCATTGGGA